CCGGGACCGTCGGAACATGGGTCCGGGTCCGTTTACCCAAAACGTTGACCGAGGTCAACAAAAATCATCTTTTTAAGCCAAAAATCATTATTTCTCAAATTTGTCACATAAGGGCTTTCCAGATATACGCTCGAACTAAGCACGCAAATCTAGGAGAGATAAAATAAGATTTTCAAGGCCTCGAAATACGGAATCGGATTCTAAAATAGAAGATGACGTTTTGGGTCATCACATGTTTAGATGTCGTATACAACATATATGTTAGGTAACGAATACTTATACATTGTTGTTGGGTTAAAGCATGCGGGTGGGACTTGTTTCTTGTAATTTATTTCTTTCCTTGATCACGATATCCATGCTTAGACTAGTTAATCACTAAATTGATTGTTCTTTCCGCATTTATGGACTCTCTATGATAATTGAGTATTGTTTCTGAAGTTGAGGTTGGTTTTGTGGAATCATTGTTGACGTAAAACTTGTCCTTGTTTATTTCATCTCCCTATTGTTATATGTTCATTGTTATATGGTAAGGGAGAGTGTTAATACACGAAGGGTGATGCCGTGCTGTATTTGAGTGTTAATGCACAAAGGGTGATGTCATGCCATATTGTGAGAGTTAATGCACGAAGGGTGATTTCGTATCATATTTTGAGAGTTAATGCATGAAGGATGATGTTGTGTCGTATCTATTGATTTATGATGAAAGTGAGAGTAAAAGCACGAAGGGTGATGTTGTATCGTTATTATTGTTTCATTGTGAGGTTGAGAGTTAATGCACGAAGGGTGATGCCGTGCAGTTTTATTCATTATGTTTATTCGTTTTACTGGTTAAAGGCTTATTGACTATTTCTTGTTATCATTGTAGTTATCTTATCTTGTACCTCATTCGCATGTCCCCTCCCAACAGTACATGTTTAGCCTTTATTGTTGTTATGTTGTACGTATATTGTTATTTGTATTTATTTATATAGGTGTCTTGTCATAGCCTCGTCACTACCTCGTCGAAGTTAGGATCGACACTTACGGAGTGCATGGGGTCGGTTGTACTCATACTACACGCTGCACTTCTTGTGCAGATTTTGGTATTGGTCCTAGTTTCCCGTGAGGTGCATTATCTCGAATCAGCTGACTTGGAGACTCGAGGTAGATCTGCTAGCGTCCGCAGACATTGAAGTCCCCTTCCATTTCCCATATTACTGCTCTTTTCATTCGAGGCAGTTGTACTTATTTCAGACTCTATTTGTAGAAATTCTAGAAGCCCGAGAACTTGTAACTTCAGATCCGGGTTGTATTAGATATTGGTTCATTACGCTATATCGTAATTTATTTTGAACTTCATTTTTGTTTAATTGGTTCTACTGATTTAAATTGATTACAATTGGTTGAAAGATCCTCCAACGTTGGCTTGCCTAGCAAGTGAAATGTTAGACGCCATCACGATCCTGAATATAGGAATTCCGGGTCGTGACATATCGTCTTTAATGTTAAATTCAGCATAACAAGCAACCCCTTGCGGAGTAAGTGAATATGGATATCTTTTGTTTACTTTAATATTAACCGGACATTTTCTCACACTCATTCTTTTACATATCAACGATACCACTCTATCGTACTCCAATGTAAGTGGCAACTTAACAATACACTGTGGAGAACAACTATAGTGTACTGAGTTATTCTCCACGACAGCCTCACCCTCCAATATAATGCAACTTTAATTTTTTGCTCTTCAGACATTATGGCAAAATGCAGAAGAAGTTAAGTAAAAAAATATTATGGAATGAGTAAAAGAAAATAAAAAGGATAAAAGACTAAATTTTTTAAGAAAGAATGAAGCTCTTAAATAAGCAAAGAAATTGTGTGGGGTACAATAATTGGAGGGTATAGCACATTAATTAAATGCGCTACATATATAACGCAGTAAAGCTATGCGCTATACTGACCAATTATTGTGGGTCAGTCAATTAATAAGTATTGCGCATGGATGTCATGCGCTATACCTTAACGGACAAAAGTACCGTTAAGGTATAGCGCATCCCATCCATGCGCTATACATAAAATGGTCACAGATTTTTTTCGATCTATTATTGTGCTTTGAGTCCAAAAAGCCGCACTTTGATTCCGGACTCTTTGTGGAAGGTTCAAAAACTTCTTAAAGTTATGTGATATGCACCAAAATGTACATTCAAAATTACACTTGCTGACAAGTACAATATTGTTAGTCTGTATTTTTAGTCGGTCACTTTTACCGCTTAGAATCCTATTTTATACTCTCTTCATTTACTTTTTTTTGTCATGTTTTATTTTTCGAAAGTCAAACTATATAAACTTTAACCAATGTTTTAATATGTATATTTGCAGCATATTGATATGAGACGAATTACACATTATAATACTTTTCATATAGTTTTTGAATATCTAAGTCTAATTTTAAAATATTAAGAAAATCTAATCCGATTTAATTTCAAATATTAGTCAAATTAACATTCGAAAAATGAAACATGACAAATAAAAGTGAGTGGAGGAAGTATTAAACTTTTAAGTATAAAATAACAATAATAGCTAGGCCTCAGTTCCAAACAAAATGGAGCTGATGATTATGAAGATTCATCATAAATTGGCAAGTTTTTGCGGACTCTCAGCATAACTTTTCTTCTTATTTAAAATCAACAATGTAAGCAAACTCACACAAAAGAAAGTAAAATGTTCTAGATTTGGCAGGCCAATCAATAAATCAATTTAAGAGCCTATAAATCCTGAAAGACAAGGTCATAAAGTCTAGGGGCTACAAGCATAGGCCTAGGTCCTAGCTCATATTTCATTGACCCATCTACATTCCATAGACCTGAATAATTCATAAGGTCAATAACCTTTGCATTAAATATTGGTTGGTGAGCAGCACATTTGTAAGGTCCAACTTTGTCATACACAAATGCTATAATAACTCATTTTCTTTTAACTCTTCAATTTGAAAACAAAAAAGAAGTAAGTGGCAGAAGAAAGTACTCTCTTTTGTCACAACCAGAATGTGGTGGAATATATAAAATTTATTCACCTCTAATTAGATATTTCAGATTCAAATCTAGAAAATGATAAATATCATGGTAGGGAGCGATTTCTTTTTCAACGGGCGGCATGTAACACAAATTAGAATTAATTGGACGAACGGATGATTATAAGAAAAAAGTCCTTGTCACATGCTCATTATTATGTCTATTTTGCTTGTCTACGTGGACCAATTCATAAATGGAAGCATAATTAGGTTAACCAACTAAAGGAGGAAATAAACAGAGTTGTAATCTCAGAAAATAGTGTGCAGAGTTCCAAATCTGTAACACAAGTATAGGGGAGAGGAGAAGGAGGCTAAGGGAGGGGGTGAGTAGCTAGGGACAAACATGATCACATGATTCTAAAGTACAAAAGGTAGTTACTGTAGAATTTGTTGGTATTGTCTATTGGAAGAGTCTTCTTTAAAATCTGATTCCTAGGGAGTAGGGAACTGGTTTTTTCTGTTTTTACATTTGGATTCTTGATATGGGAAGTTCTGGGAAATAGGCAACCTTTAGCATAAAATTCTCCTATCAAAAATACTGCAAATTAAAGAGTTCACTCAAGTTTTCTCCAATCTATTCTTCTCTCCAAAGAAGCCACCTTTTTTCCCATCAGGCAATTCTTGAGTTAATGAGGAAAAAAAACTAAGTGTTGTCCTAACTCTTTCTTTGGTTTAGAAAAACTGCATAGTGAATCTGCTCTTTTTGAAGGTGAGCCTTGGAGTGAGTTTTCGTGTGACCTATAAGTTATCAGTTCGAGCAGTGGAAGCATCTATTAATACGTGCATTAGAGTATGTTGTCTGCATCACACCCCTTGAAGTGCGGCCCTTCCCCTGAACCCTACGTGAATGCGAAATGCTTTGTATACCAAGCTGCCATTTTTTAGTGAATCTACTCTGTTTATAGGAACATAGACGTGCCATTACTAGTTCCGAATATGTTACTCGGTTGATATGGAAAGGAAAAGAAAGTCATTCCGAGGCACAAAGTATCATGTATTCACGCAGGGTCCGAGAAAGAGCGGCACCCTAAGGAGGTGTAATGTACCTACCTACCCTGATGCAAATATCAATGGCTGATATCAGTGGCTCGAACCAGTGGTCACATGGAATCAACTTAACCATTGTTCCAAGATTCCCTTTGATATGGAAAGAAATGACAATCATTACTGGTGATTTAGTATATGTTAGCAACATGGATCTTTGACATAATTCAACCTCAAAAGCTAATTCATGGGTGAGAATTGCCTAATATCATATGAAGAGACAACAGTTCTTTTTCTCGGCCAACGTGGAACGCTTCGGGGTCGTTTGGAGGGAAATAATTTATCTCCGAATTAATTTTCTCGGAATTAGTTATCCGGGAATTATTATTCCATCTTCTCATAGGAATAAAAATAACATTATAATCCTGGGATAACTAATACGTGGTCATTTGGAGTAGATACTTGACAATTTACCATGTTTCTCAATCAGGTTGTAAGTAATAGTACAAGCTAGTACTGCTAAAGATAAGTCCTAATTCATTATTGCATCAGGATAATGAAGGATAAAACAAATTAAAGGCCTTGTTTCTTTTATTTGACATGCCTGAGATAAGGTTGAGTTGACTGTACTACTAGTCAGTCCTCAGAATCAAAACATTTTGTAATTCATTTAACACAATGTACCAATTCTCACTCTACGTACACTTTTTTTTTTTTTTTTTTTTTTCACCTTTTTGTAAATCCTTTTAAGCACAGATAAAGAGAAGAAGGACATTAATTTCTGAACAACCAACAAGTATCATGTCATACAGAGATATGTCACTATTAATTCAGCTGAGTAAAGTCACCACCAGACACCATACCCATGTTCCTTTCTATACCTACTTCCCCACATGTTCAAAATTTGTCAATATTCTTATCTGAGGCAGCTAATTAAAGGGTCATCATTTGATTTTCTTTTTCTTCTCCCTCTTTATTTAAAGAAGACTACTACATTCAATAGGCTGCAGAAAACAGAAAAACAATAATAAAGGCTCCCTGTAGGAAGTTATTATAGAAGTTGAAGACTTTTGCTGCTGATTAATGATCATCAATATGGCCTCATTCAATAAGCTTTATCATGAGCTGAAAGTTGTATTCATCTTTGCCCTTTTATGTTATCCTCATGTTACAGGTCAGTGTTACCCTATAGTAAAATATCACTTCTATTTACTTAATCCTTTTACACACCTCATATAAACACACACATCTTAGAAAAAGTTTTAACAAGAAAGAAGTAACATGTTTTAATTTCTTCTACTAATATTTATCTATGAAGTAAATGGTAAAAGGAAAAGCAATAAGTTAGAAGATCACATTTCTTGATCTTCTTCTTCTTCTTCTTCTTCTTCTTCTTCTTCTTCTTTGGTTTATTATCTCTTTGAAGTAAAGGTAAAGGAGAAGAAAAAGTCAAGAAGCTGTTTTTATAATTAAGTAGAAAAGCAAACAAGATGAAAAAAGTATCACAATGAACGTAAAAGTGGAGGAAGAAGAATTTCTTGGTGGTTTTCAACTGATTAAATTTGAAAGAATGGATAAACAATGGAAGGTTGTACAGTAATATACACCGATAGTGTAAAGAATGGTTATGTCATTGTAGTTTAACATGTTATAGCATGGTACATGTCTTATATTCAGGTTACTAATTCCGCGTTGTAACACTTATTTAGATGACCTGATTATGTAAAAACAAATTTCACTATCAAGTGTATAAAAGTCAAACTCTTAATGAACTTCAAAACTAAGTATGATTAGGAGCAGAACTAGAGCATACCCAGTAGCTTGAAGACAAGTTCAAAATTCATAAATTCTAAATTCTGATTCCGCCTCTGGCCGTATGATTCTTATTGTAGTTACTGTTTTTAGCTGGATAGGTAACTTAGTATAATAATCTTGTAGTAATTACAGATGGTGGAAATGTTTCAAACTGGCCGGGAAAGGAGACAAGAGGAATGAAGGTAGGATCAAGGCCACCAAGGTGTGAAGGAAAATGCTCGAATTGCAGGCCTTGTGTTGCTACATTAATAGCTCCTGGTCATCAAGTCAAGAAAGTTACCATTTCTTCCTCTAAAGAAGATGGCACTTATTATCTTCTTGCATGGAGATGTAAATGTGCAAATAAGCTTTTCCAACCTTGAAAAACTATTTAGTTCATCTGTTTATTTTTATATATATATTGAGGTTTTGGCTCATTTAAGTGTGTAGAGTTTCCTGGAATTAATGACCAAATTTAATGTATATATGTCAATATTAAGTCTCCGATTATAGATGTGGGGCTCTGTTGAATGCAAAAGAATGTCTACTATATATATTCCCTATTAATTAGTGTCATATTATCTAAGTAAAAGAGGGAAGGTGTTTCGACATGTAGGGTTCGAAAAAGGACATGAGTGTCAAATCATCTATTAAGTGATAAGGGAATATTCGGCGTAGTTGAGTTGGGAATTGGAAATGCTAGCCTGAGGCAATCAAGGCCGTGTCACACATGTATACCTTCGAGACAGTAGCGGAGGTATATGTAAATATGTAATGAATTAAAGCTCGAGATTCTGTTGAATTCCCCTCTTAATAAAATTATACTGGCAAATAAAATTAAAGAATTTAAGAATATATA